ACAATGCAGTTTCTGAAAATGCAAGAATTAGAAACAGGTTAACAAGCTCATTAGCGTTGAGTAGTTTTCCATTTAAAATTTATAGTATGACACGAAGTCTGCAACGTCGCAAACCGAGGTACGTAGACAGGTACTTTCACCGTCGATATGACGCATACTGCTAGTATTGTAACATTTTAATTAGGTCATTTTTTAAACGCTGAACGTAGATACGTCTTATTTCCTTAATTTCATACAATGTAGACGTAATTTTCAAAGGACTCACGATTTTTGGCCCATCCAAGAGTATGGCAGTGGATGAGCTCTTCCGGAGCTAGACTTCGTGGTGGTAGGCAAATGGGCCGAATGAAGTCCGAGAAAATTACTGGTTTGTTGAGTTTGATCATGACGACAGTGCTGCCCTCTACCGGAGATTTGACCATTCCAATTACGTGACGCTCCTGTTGCCATGGTGACGTGGACTGCAAGCGAACACTCCCCAGTCGGGCTATCCACTCAGCTTTGCTTTGCCTGTGATTTAAAATATGAGGTACAATTGATATGAGGAGTATTATTCTTATTGCTAAGATATTGTACACAATATTCTTGAAAATATAGGCCTTGTTCCTCATAAATTTCAGTGGCGAAGCGTGAATGGTCGATTTTCGATATTTTCTCAATTGAAGCTATCGTAAAGAATCGATTATTAAGGTGTTCGTTGCGCACAGCCTGTTTATTGATCCTTTTCCATAGGTTTAAATGACAGAGCAATTTGTACATCGCAAAGCACGCACAGTAGCACAGCCGCCGATAAATTTTACCGATTTCATCTGTTTCAAATATGTACTGGGATCTGCGAGTACATATGAAAAAGAAAAGTTTTTTAAAACCTAAAATCATGCTTTCGCGAGGTGTTGGTCGTCTTGAAGTGAGAAGATTAAAATCACATTTTCTTTAATTCATTTTTTTTAAAATTCAGTGACTAATCCATATGAAATCACGCATTGTTTCATTATTTTTGGTAGAGTCATGCAATTAGGAAAACGGCAAATCATTAGTTGACGGCATACTCAAGAGTGTTTCTGCCTAAACCGAGTCACATTTTTCTCAAATAACATTAAAAAAATAATGCTAAAATTTATTAAATACGGATCCTAGGATCTAGTGAGTTTTTGGACTACCGCTCTCTTTTTGTGCCGTAGTGCCTTGATTTATTTTACGAGGAAAGTTCCGTACTCTTAAAGGATGCCTGTCATTCTTAACATGTTTGAGCGCCTACAAACCTAAGGGGATACTTTACGCATTGCGCAATGCGTGAGGTATCCCTGTTATGTTTGTAGGCGCCAGTGCGCGTTACGCGCTGATGGTACGCCGCTCTGCTCTGTTAGGTTCTAATATTTAAACTCGTGGAGTCCGCGTTTTCCAAACCATGATTTTGGAATGTTTACACACTCTAAATTGATTATTCTCATTTAAAGTGATGGAAAAAGTATATGCATTAAACGACAATTTAAAGTGTGTTTTGTAAGTATGAAGGTGGTTCTGTCAAATTTAATAAATTCCGAGGCACTTTAATACGTTTTATTCCTGGAGCTTTTCAATCGAAAACAATTGACAACGTTTCGAAATGGTGACTTGGCACCGTACAGGAGTCATGGAAATCAGTGACTGGAAATACCCAGATGGTGCCAGCTCCTACATTTCCTTATACGACTTTTTGTACTGTATGATTCAAATATAAAACATTTAGGCAGCTTTCTCGGGTTAATGGCTTATCCCGCGTTACTCGTTAATGTTACAGAATCCTGATTACAAAGTGTATAGAAATTATTTTAAAATATTTTCTCTCCTTTAAGTTTTCTATTCATTTAACTGGCTAGAACGTACCCTTGGAAGCAAGAAACCGTCGTGAGAACCCACTGAGGCGAAACGAGGGTGCCGTCGCAGATATGCACATTCTCGCGAAACAGGGCTGCATGCCACGGCCAGTCACCCGGAGCTGCCATCTTACCGAGCCCGTCCACGCCATTCAGCTCTCTCGCGGTTTGGGTTCCGCATTCTGAAAAACAGTTAAAACCAACCTTAAATTATAGGAATAAAATTGTAATGGACACATCTATTTTAGTTTCTCTACATTAATAATCGACAAAACAAAAGAGAAAACACTAAGCTGTATGAATTAATGGTGTGGACATCAACCTCGAGGTCAATGTGGTCATTCATTACATCTCATTTCGCCACGGCTCATGGCGCCCCGCAACAAAAATTTTTGCGTTTAGCCACAGCTTATCGATGCTGTGTGGTTAAATGGGACAATTTAAAATGAGTGTGGCTAAATGCAACAAATTTAATTTTATTTTATTCTTAACTGATTTTTTAGAATGAATGCGTCAAAGGAGCGACATTATGAGCGACGCTAGTGTCAAAATTGCTGCAGCACAACTTTTTAACGCACTACCAAAAAATATTAAGAAGTTGTTCAGGCTAGGAAACGTGGCTGCATTCATGAACTCACTTAGGAGCTTTTTAAGAAAAAATTCACCTTACTCTGAGGAGGTGTTCTTATAGGCCTGGAAACATCACTTCTTATTGCTTTCTATTTATCATTGTTCTCATTGTGCGTATGACCTGTATGATATTCATTTACCATTGGCTCATGTACCAAATCGTATAAATAAATATATATATATGAGTCGCTTTTATAGCGCTCTTTGGCGCTGTGCGACGCCT